GGTACAGTAAAAATATCATAGCTAGATGAGAGAGAGAGATGATTAGATAGATAGATAGATAGATAGATAGATAGATAGATAGATAGATAGATAGATAGATAGATAGATGTAGAGAAATGTACAGTAGGTAGAGTTGAGAGAGAGAGAATAGATGATAGAGATTAGATAGATAATAGAGAGCGATAGAGAAATAGGACAGAGAATGAGATAACACAAATCCTAAAACATGGTAGTAAACATTTAGGGAAAATAAATAAGGCCTATGGTTGGGAGAGGGCTTGTTTCAACTTCAGTGGAGGTGAAGACTGTCTTCCGCTGTTGTAAATTCCACTCTCTGGCAACACGCTGAGCAAAGAAGTATCTCCTTTTATTTGTTCTAAATTTATCGACTGTACTTTCCAGCAATTCCATACGGATAAGGCAAAAAGGGCATGATTAACAGTCTCCAGATAGTTTTCAAGGACATTCTTATTTTGGAAGGACAGCAGAATTAGTGGAGAGGCTAGTTAGACGTGGTGGGGGTTTCAGTCCAAGATATCTAGAGGGCATCTGGAGGGGAAGGACGGATTATGGGGATTACAAATTAGGGCCACCATATGACACATTCATCTGTACAGAAGGAGAACATTCTGAAAGTCTTCTGCCTAATATAAGAGTAAACAGAAAATGGATTGCAATGTTCTCGTTGACTTCTAAGTTATTTGCAATAGATTGCAAAAAGTAACTCAGCTTGAGGATGGCTCCTGAGCTGGTAAATTATTGGTGTGGGTTTTTCCCCCCCTATGGTGCAATCCAAGGATAGGAGCAGATTGTTCAATATACTCTCACATATGTAGCTACACCTGGTTTTGCCAAAACATTAACATGGGTAAGTCTCATAGGTTACCAAGATGTCCATTTTGGAAGGCTTTAACTTTTTATAAATTCTTCCAAATATCTGGATTAGCATCAAGCACATGCTAAGAAGCTTACTATCCATGAAAATACCTACAGAATCCAAATCCATAGGTGCACTTTTGCATTGAAATAGAAAAAAGAATTTATTGATAGGACATCAGAAAGAATGCACTCCTAAAATGAACGTTTTAAACATCTGCCTTCAAAAGCAGTCCTTTATCTCGAGATGGTAAAACAGTCAAGCCTTGTATATATTTGTGTGTTTAAAACTTTATTCAGGTTATTCCTGTGATAGAATGGTGTCATGAAGGCCACGCTCAGGGAGATAAGCATTTCCTTAGCCCCCAGCAGGAGCGTGGGATGTTCAGGAAGATGAGGTTGGCACCTCCCTAAGGAATTCACGGTGTTGTGGCTGGCTGGCTGGCTTGGGAACTTAGGTTCAGCCTGGGGAGATTTCTTTCTTTAGGGGGAAACTAATAAATGCAACAGAACTGTATTGCACTGTCTCGTGGAGTTCTTTGGGCTGAACCTGACAATTCCCAATTTCGTATCTAGAAAATCACTAGGTGGTCACTACTGTCCTCAAAGCCAAAATGCCTTCTTGCTTGCCACCTTTCTCCTTCATAATCCTCCACTAACGCATATTTTCTAAGAATGAAAGGATGGCCAATAATGTAACTCTATTCCATAACAATTATTTCATTTTTAAGATGGATGTTCAATCTTGATGCTCTTGGAAACAAAAATCTTACCTTTTAATGGGTGAGGGCTTCTTTAGCCAATAGTGTAGCATTCTCTACCTTACTGGTGAAATGGACAACAGAAACATTTTCATAGAAAGTGGATACAGAAGGGACAAAATTATTTGAAAAAAGTTTATGATAGTAGAACTTTTTTTTTCCACCTCATGTAAATTAAGGTAGAGAATGCAAGTAGGATGATACCTCTGAGAAACTCTCTTTTAGATATTCCAAGTTGTTTAAAGTAACTGACAACTATTTACTAGGTGGTATAAGGAAGGCTCTGTCTCAGGGGAGCTCAGCTTGTCTAGATATAGACAACTTATCCTTCTAGGGTGGTGTTGAGAGTAAGGAAGGTGACCTTGATGGAGATACAGGAACCATTACCTAGGCAAAAGGGCTAAAGCATCTTTTAAGTCCAGAACGAGTTTACATTCAGAAGCAACTCAGGGAGATGACCCCCTAATTCACTGGAGTATAAGAAGAAGGAGGAGATGCAGAACAATCAGATTTGCAAGATTTGGTTATTATACCCAACTTCAATAAAAGTCGTTTTAGCCTTCCTGTGACTTCCTGGTCTGGCCTACCTCATGGCTGACATCAACCTTGCAAGTCTCTTACTCTCTTTCAGCAGAGGCTGAAGGTCTTGCATTTGTTAGTGGAGATGACCTCCAATCCTCAAGGTACACCACTGTCTGATGAGCACCTTGTTGCTTGTTGTTGTAACACCAGCAACAGGGGGATTCAACCTGTTTTACATTGATCATTGCTCGTGTGGGAGGCACCCCCTGCAGCTTACAGACTAGAATAGCTCCCCTTCCATCTATCCTGGGTCGATGGGGAGGAAGAGTATGAAGTAGAGTCTGTTTTGGACTCTGGATGCAAGGGAAAACATTTGGAATATCTGATTAAGTGGAAGGGCTACCCAGAATCAGAGACTGTGGGAGAATGCAACAGGCATACAGGCCGCCACAACCTGTATGCCATTTCATCTGCAATGCCTAGGGAAACTCCATCCATGTGAACTGCCACTGTTACAACGTACTTGGACATCCCAGGATGAACAAGATTATGAGTTTTCTGGAATGGAGGAGGCCATAGAGCAGACAGGGGGAGGGACACTTTCCCCTCTCCATCTACTTTGGAGCTGCAAAACTGGTAGGGTAGGATGCAGAAACAGCCAGAAAGGGATGATGAAACTCAGGCTGAACAGCAGAAGGAGAGGGTGAAGGGAGTAATTGCTCATTGTACAGCTGATTGCTGTACAATGCTCATTGTACAGGGTCTGTCTAGCGATCTAGGTGAGTTGGCCAGCAATAGAGGAGAGCAGTGAATCTGTAGTTCATTTTCATGGCCCTGACTTGGAATTTTCTGGGCATGCAGGAGGGGGAACTGAGGTTAATGGGGAGGGGGGTGTAGAAATTTAAGAAAGGCTACCTTGACAGAGGTAGCCCCAATTATCTGACTCCTTAGGCCTATTCTCCAACTTTTTCCCTTTGTGGTGCTTACTCCCTGGATTGAATTTAAACTGCAATGGCCATGCTGGCTGAGGATGAGAGGAATTGTAATCCAACATACCTGGAGGTGGCCAAGTTGAAGAAGACTGCCCTGGTAGAGAAGACAGTTGGGTTTTTTTTCCTCCTCCTTTTTGAGAGGAAACTTTGATGGTCAAAAACAGATGAGCTTTTCCACTCTAAATGCTCCAAATATCTGATAACAGCCCTGCCAATTCACCTCTCCAGAACCACTGCAATTAATTAATTAAAAACCACCTTGGGCATCTGACCCTGAATGGTTCAGATGAAATTAGAATACTGTTGGTCTTCTGCCAAAGCAAGATCTGGGGCCTCCAAGGAACCTCTGGCTACAGGGCAGGGGGCGGTATGCTATTAGTTAAGAAAAAGCTTGAAGTTGACATGATGGTCTTCAGAAAGGAGGAAACCAAAAATATTTGCAAACCCTAATCTCTCCCCACACAGGACTTCGAGAGGCAAATTTTTATTTTTATAGAGGCCACTAGTAAGATTCTTAATGGGGTACAATTCTGATCATCTTTCACCTTACACCCAAGCATCACACTGGCCTGTCCAGATTGTACTGGCTGGAGCTGGGGCTGATACCCGTATTTTGTGGAGAGCCATAATTGAGAGCAGACTGTGGCTGTTTTGCTCTGAGTCTCAACCCAGCTAGGCTTGAGTTACAGGGGTCCCTGTACATGTATGGTGAAGGGGCACCAGGCCCATACATTGAACCAGAATGCCCAGGAGGACTTGCCAGGCTGTTGAAGTTCTCCAGAGATGGGACTCCAGATATAGAGGCTCCTGCAGCTGCTGGGAACATGCTCTGGGGTGCAAAAGAATTGAGGTTCATGGAGTTGAAGAGTTGGAAGCCTTTGCCATGGATAGGGTTGCTATGTAGCCCCTTGGAAGTCCAGGTATTATAGGCATAGGTTGGATAAAGGTCATCATAAGGATTTCCAGTAAAGCCATTAAGCTGTGACCCAAAGGCTCCTTTGCAAAGCTCCGTTTGCTGATGACGTTCCTTTTTCCGCCACTTGGCTCTTCGGTTCTTGAACCAAACCTTGAAAGAAAAGAGGGAGGGAGGGAGAAAGAAAGTACTCACTTATGCAAGGTTGAGGAACAATTCCCAAACTAGTTGCATTAAACCATTACCATGGGATAGTGATAGCCCTCGATGGATTGTTCTTGTCTTCTTTTAAAAGAGAATAAGAACAAGCCATGGAAGACTATCAAGAGCTAGTAGTCTTCATGGCTGTGGAACTGCAGAGAGCATTCTTTAAACACCAGCTGCTGTGGTCAAAAGTAGAGGAAGGTTATCGAGCCCTTGTCCATTTGTGAGCTTCACGTGATGGGTACTGTGTGACACAGAGGTACTCAGCCATGTTATTTAAAGACCAACATGTTGAGTGAACCCAGAAACCCAGTCCTTTCTGGATCAGGATCCAATTCCAAATCACACCAAAAAGGCCTGGGTTAGTTTTGGATTACTTTAAGCAGGCCGGCTGTCCTTGTGCAAACCCAGAAGAGAAGGTTAACAGAGCCCTGATTCTGTCTTCTGGCCATCTGCATATAGACAGGAGCCTGGAGTAGCCTTGAAAGAATGGGATTTCTCTGTGGACTGTGTTTCCTCCTCCTCCTCCTCCTCCTCCTCCTCTTTTTACCTCCCAGAGAGAGCAAGGGGAGTGAAATCGGTATTTGAAGGGGATATGAGAAGGCTGAAGTCTTTACCAGCCTATCCATAGTAACTCCAATTAGGCCACCAGAGGTTTTTTTTCCCCTTTGGGAAAGAGGATAAACTCTCAAGATGTGGGGGGGGGGGGGGCATTCCATAGCCAGCCTTTGCAAAGGAGATTGCCATACTAGCCAAGATGTAGGTTTACATGCCATTACTATTTGCTACTGCATGCCTGTGTAAGTAATTTAAGGGGTAGTGGAGGATTACAGGTAGAGAATGCAGAACGTTGGGCTAGATGTGCCTTTTGTCTAATCTGGAAGAGCTCTTCTTATGTTATTAATACAGAACAATCTTCCATGTGTTGCTGCCTATTCAAATTGAAACCAGTCCAACTGGAGAGCCGTTGAATCTGAACGGAGCAACAGGGCTTATTTCAGACAAGACACAGACTGGGGTCTCAGCACAACTGTGCTTTCAGATGCTCTGAGCTGCTCCTCTCCAAATTCCTATACCAGGACTCTAAAGACAATAGTTCTTAGGCTTTTTACTTTCTGGCTGGGTTCATACAAAATGATTAATCAGGCCAAACCATATGCCAAGATCAGAAATTGGGATACTACTGTGGAAACACCCTGCTAAAGACCACAGAGAGCCACCACCAATCACTAAGGACATGAAAAAGAAAAGGTGGAGGGACTCAGTTATAGCACCAAAGGATGCACTGTTGGAAAACCTGAAAGACCAGGTTAGGGACAGACCATCATGGAGAAAATCTATCTATGTGGTCAATAAGATTTGACAATGACTTGATGGCACATAATCAATCAATCAATCAATCAATCAATCAGAAGGATAATTGGAGAGCCAGTTTGATATAATGGTTAAGGAACCAGGCTGAAAACCGAAAGACTGTGAGTTCTAGTCCTGCCTTAGGCACAAAGCCAGCTGGGTGACCTTGGGCCAGTCACTCTCTTTCAGTCCTAGGAAGAGGAGAGCAAGGGCAAACTACTTCCAAAAATGCTCCCTAGAAAACTGCAGGGATTTGTCATGTAGGTCACCAGGAGTCAACACTGAGTTGAAGGCACCAAGAAAGGAGCCAAATTGGTGTAGTGGTTAAAGGCACCAGGCTAGATACCAGGAGACTCTGAGTTCTGGCCCTGCCTTAGGCACAAAGCCAGCAGGGTGAACTTGAGCCAGTCCCAACCCCTCAGTCCTAGGAAGAGGAAAGCAAGGGCAAACCACTTCCAAAAATGCTGCTTAGAAAACTGCAGGGACTTGTCTAGATGGTCACCAGGAGTGAATATTGACTCGAAGACACCAAAAGATAAAACAAAAAAGGAAAATTATCAGACTGTGCATAAGGTGATTTCCTACGATCATAATAGCTTTGTGCACAATCGTTTTGTTCTGTGCATCACTTTCCAGAAAACAGTCCATGCACACCTATAAAACAGTTAAGACGCACTTGGATGCTTTCTCCAAACTCACTCAGAAATTCCCTGTGCCAACCTTCAGGATGTCCTGGAGAACTAGAGAAGCCAGTATCATTTCTTGGGTGGGAGGTCCCACAGCCATAATCAAAATAAAAAATATTGACACATGAAAACATAAGCCGCCCCCTCAAAAAAAAAAAAAAAAAAGGATGAGAAATAATTTGAATGTTTTGATCCAAGTAGTCCCTGCCAAGTAGGTCCTATGAAATCTGTCTTGAATGCTTTTAGTTTGTGTCATTCTTCATGCTCTCATGGAGGAATGAGTGAACAATCATAGGTATTGTATTTTATCAGAAAAGAAACTCAAGGTGTTGCAGCAACTCTACTTAAGCCAGCCTGCTAACCTACAGAATCAGACATATCATCCCATTATTTTGCTGTGATTTACACAAGCTTTCATTCCAATCTTTCCCAATCTGCTGCCTTCCAGATGCGTTGCCACTGCAACTCCCCCAGTTTCCAACCAGAATGCAGTCTCAACACAGCTGTGGCTGGAGTGTGTAACAGACGCTGGAAAAGCAGAGGATGAAAAAGGTCCATTGCAAAAAAGACGCCTCAGTCCAGAGGAGGAGGGAAACATGAGAAAGTGTCAAGCCCCCTAAGTAGGCCAGACCAATCAATTCCATAGGAAGTCCAAAACTACTTTTATTGAGATTGGCTATAACAGAATCTCGCAAACCTAATTGTGCTGGACCTCCTCCTTATACCCATGTGAATTAGGAAGATGTCTGTCTGTTGTGGACTTAAATTATTTTTCATCCCTCATTGTCCTAGCAATGAATCTTGCATATCTCCATCAGGGTCATCTCCCTTACTCTCTAAATCAAAAGACTCAGAAGAGCAACTCCGCCTTAATTATGCTAGGCCTAAGTTGAGCTGGAGAATTGCTTTGACAGGCTTTCAAGGTTCTGCTATGTTACCCTACTGGCAGTAAAGATCTCTCCTGAAATCCAAGTGGCTTTGTTTCATGAGTTTGCCAACCTCACAAGGGTTGACAACTCCTGAAGAAGTTGAGGTAGAGGAAGGTGTTTTATCGTACGGTGAAAGAGGTCTGAGCCAAGAACCCATGATCTTGCCAAGGGTTGGCTTTCATCCCACTCCGTTCTTCAGTGATTCATCATTAGTGTGTCTGAGCTACTCTGAGGAACTGTATCCCTGGTTCACCCCATCACCTCTGGCAACAGGGATCCTCACCCTTATCCTCGGCTCTGTCAGATTGGTCCAGCCTGCTATCTCTTCCCTTGTGCTCATGTCCGGGTAGCGATTTCGTTGGAAAGTGGCCTCCAGTTCCTGCAGCTGCTGGCTGGTGAAATGGGTCCTCTGCCTGCGGGGCTTCTTTTGGCCCATACTTGCCTCCTCTTCACCACTGGAATCAGAAGATTTGCACTGGGAGGTCTCACCATTTTCTCCTGAAGAGAAAGAGAAAAGAAGAATATTTTGGCATAGGCCCTGGACATTAGAGCTACCTGATCTTCTGTGGAGTCAGAGTCAAAGGACTTATTTTGGTCATTAACCAGACTTGAATAACAGAGTAAGAATAATGAAATAAAATAAAATAGGGTTAAAAAAAAGAAAGAAAAATATGTAAATATAAAAATGTAATCAAACCAAGCTGGTCTTAACAAAGTCCTGACAGATCTTGCCAGTTATTAGACAAAATTGGGGTTCTCTTCAAAATTCTGGTTTCTCTTCAAATTATATTATATTCCATGGAGCAATCTTCAAAGACAGAATCCTACTGGGAGCAAATTTGGATATTCCTGTGGATTCCAGAAGAGATGGCATTGTTCTAGCAAGAACAAATGTTGATTACCATTCTGTCCTTCCCTAGAAAAATGTTGCGTGGTTACTTGGTCATTCCAGGAAGGGCTGGAAAAGGAACTGTACCCTTCGAAGCACCCCAGGATTTATAAATATTTTTAAAAAGTGACAGGACATCTATTCCACTGTATAAAGCTGTATCCAGTCAGATGAATTTCCAGTTTTAAAATGGGGGTATCTATAGCAAATGGTCAAAAAAAGTCAGGATGATAGCCACAATGGAGTGATCAAAGTTCCGCCCCTTTCTTACGTGCGTTGTAAATGTAGGTGGGACCAAGATAAAGCGGGGGGGGGGGAGGCAAAAACTAAACTAATTGAATTTAAAGATAATTAAAATTGATGTTAATTATGTAATAACATTAATATGATTAATCTATACTTAGTCATTTCTTCCTCATAAAATTGCCCAATTGTATTTACAAAAGTAGCAACGTTGGGTAGGGCTCTGGGAGCTGCGGGGAGGGGGGGTTGCCCCACAATGATGTCACTTGGACATTCTTGCACCATAACTCTACATTTGCAATTATGTTTGCCCAGTGCCTTTGCCCAATCAGGAACACCCTTCTGTACTTACTCCAGAAAAAACTTCGCTGACAAAGATCCCTTCCAGTATGCCTGAAATACATCCATGCCCGTATGCTGAGCGCTCCTGCCCGTGTAATGAAGGCAGGCTGGAAACAATGGCATATCTACCATTATATTGCAAATATTATTGAGATATTTGTCATTTTCACCTGTCCCTCTTTTTAAAAGACTATCCAGGGGGAGCCAATGTGTTTTATGTCACTTAATTTTTCTCAGATTCAAATGGTCCAAGGGCCTTAGACATTGCTAAATTTTGTTCTGCAGCATATCAGGCTGGGCAGAAGATCAACTGATCATTCAACTGATCTGAAAGTGTCTAGAGATATGTAATTTGTCTTTCTATATTAGCTGTGAATGATTTTAAGTGGGTTTGTTTTTCCTTTTTCTGATCAATGGCTATAATAATTAAAAAAAAAACACATGCACCCATTCATTCATGTTTAATTGCTTCCTGTGCAGAACAGTTGATAGAATTTGATAGAATTAGTCTTTTCTAAGCCATTTTTAACTCAGGAGGATTTTTACATATTTTTGTTGTTCAATTGTTAAGTCGTGTCCAACTCTTTGTGGCCCCATGAACCATATTGCGCCAGGCCTTCCTGTCCTTTATTGCCTCCCTGAGTTGGCTCAGTTTCATGCTCATTGCTTCAGTGATGCTACTTAACCATCTCATCC